ATTCACTATCTATACACACATTACATTAATCTCCCGTCACGTTGTCACCCTCTTTCATATACCAGTCTACCCTCTATCTAGTCAATACTAGAGCATTCGCCAAGATACGGGATAGTTCTAGAAAGTAGAGGGCGTGAGAGTCACATGATCTCGATGACGCAACAATCTGAACTAAGACACAGTCTATTCTCCACATTAATTTTATGACAAAGAAAATATGTAAAAATATACTGCTAGAATTTTCCTAATTTTACAAAGTGAAAACAGAAGCTATTTGTAATGTGTGTGTTTGTTTGAAGTTAAGGACAAAGCTACACAATGGGTTATCTTTGCTCTGCCCACCACAGGTATCGAAACCCGGTTTCTAACGTTGTATGTCCGCAGACATACCACTGTGCCACTGGGGGCACTTCTAATGAATAACTATTGGTAGGTAACACTGTCAAATCTAGAATAACAACAACAACAAAAATGCACAGCATACGATCTTTGTTAAGACCTGGTTTGTTATTTATTCAGATTATATCGATATTGTTGAAGTAGTATTTTTCCGTTGTTCCCAATTACACCAATTTTCTAGCTTTAGGAATGTGTTTAGTCTTTAGCTTTAGATTACCGCTGGATTTATAGCACATGTAAAGAGGGTTGAGTATTTAGATTAAAACAGTTTTGAATATGCCAATCAGCAAGTCACATGACACCACAGCTAATATAAAGTCACAGTGGAACGGTATGTATTAGAGCTGTATTTTCAAATTTTGGGCGTTTTAGAGATAATATGATGCCACAAAAAACTGACCGCTTTTGGGAAGAGTATGTGATAGCCCTTGCCGACTAAAATTATTCATACATTTAGATTATAATGATGTATTCAGATCAGAGATTTAGAATTTTCGAGAAAGGGATAGGATATTCCTTGTACTTAATGGATTTGGTAAACATAGGAATGTGGATCAACAACAAAGAGACCTGCAATACATCGTACCTCTGTGTGGCATCTTGTAACAGGTGAGAATCCATGAACACAAAGATCAGTGGCAAAAACCGTCAATGTGTCTCAGGCAACAGTACACAACACAATCAAGTAGAATCTCCATCTGTAAAAACAAAATAAGTTGCGCGCACACAGGTTTCTTCCACAACATAGCTGATCAACTGTCACATACCAGCTGGAGAATGAAAATGGTATTTATGCTATTCTAACCACGTCCCTTGAATATTTTTGTATTGATCGGACTGTGAAACTGGCGTTGGAAAACCGTTGTTCTCATACCCAGTATAGGCTATGGAAGGTAGACATGGAGAAGTGGTGTGCTTTGGGCATACCATCTTTATGATGGAGCCATTTACAATGGAAACTGTGCTAGAGGACTATTGTTAAGGTGCATTGCCGCACATGGCGACATGGACGGTAATGATATGGTGAAGCTCCAAAATCGTTTTAAAATAACTAACTCAACCTCTGTATTACTATTTTCTTCTATTATTGTCATTACTTTTTAACATGATATGATAGAACTCTGGTTCCCCAAAAACGTGTTATGGTAATGAGTGCTCACGTACTAAAATGAACCATATACGATTTTTTGCATTTCACATGCATAGTTTCCTTGTAATTTTTATGGATATATCTGGTGGAAAGGCTAGAAGATAAGTCTGTATATGAACTTCAGCTACTTTATAAAAACCGTGGTTGATTTTTAGCAGATCTGAAATACCATAATTAATAAGTTGGTCCAAACGCTCATACTTGTTCATGTGATATGAAAAGGTAGTATAATTTCAATTTCAATTATACACATAAATCTACCTGGGTTAAAAAATTCATATGTCTATTTATTATTCAGTATGAAAGTATATGTTATATGTGCAGCAGTTTCTGGTCTGGTATGTGCTCATAGTTTTTTGATAAGAGGTTAAGGTCACTTTGTTATTTATGTAGTCTTTTTGAGTTACATTAGTATGTAAAAAGTTAATAGAAATGAATTAGTAAACAGATTATATAATGTTTGTTTTTTAATTTTGCGCTAGCCATTGGTAATTTTGAAGTAAAGACTGCTATTCAACACTACTAACAACCAACGAATAGTGGGATTGGCTATCACATTATAACGCTTTCACAGCTGAAAGGGCAAGCACGTTAAGAGACAGCATTCGAACTTGTGACCCTCCGATTATGAGTCGAATGCGATAACCACCAGGTTATGCTGGGGCAATTATACAATGTACTGATGCAGCTTACAAATGGTAAATGATGACAAAAAAACAATTTATACTACAAATGCGCCGTCTACAACAAAAGTCGCATTTACATTTGCTAGATTTGATATACTTAATTTCAGAGGGTTAATGTAGTGGCGCGTGACCGTATTTGCGAGATGTGGTAACACCTATATTTGATTCATAGTGAATGTTCGACTATTTTTCAATGTAATGCTGTCAGGTAGCCTTATAGCTGTAAGTGTATTTTAAACAGCCCTTTCAGAGAAAGAGTACTGATAAAGCAAGACTGTTAATTAAACAACAATAAGCCAAAGGACACAACATCTCAGAGAAGGGAGGCTTCAGTGTTCTTCGGTGACATGGAAAACGTTCCATGACAGAGTATTTATAACAGCAACAGACTGTAAAACCAAACTAGAAGTCTATCAGCAAAGAGAAGGCTGTGGTTACGAAAAAGAACATTCTGTACCAAAAAAGTGACTGCGATGAAAGTGTGAGTATTTCTTTGTACTAATAATTAGAAAATAATAAAGATGGGAAGTTGACGAATTTTCACAAGTAAAACTTCACAACCTTCCAACTACGCTTCGAAAATAATGGTCGTTTTCGTAAAAACAAATGCCGAAGAAACTTAAACCATAGCAATCATATTCGCCCAC